CCACATATGCAACACATGCATAAATGACCCTAAGAAAAGATCTCACCACACTTATCCTATCCCATTCCGTGTTGTTCACACCTCGAGAACACATATCTCCTCTCATCGCCCATCATGCTTACTAAACAGATCACTCAACTCATGTCTAACTGGCGAGTCACAATAGATCCTAAACTCTCGTGATAATCCTCTATCACCACATCACTTTTCCCAACCTACGTGGATAATGGGACTCCACCTTATAGAAGTGATAGAAGTACCTTTCTCACACTCCACCTGGACATGGTCTCTTTCACAGATGAAGGATTCTACACATTTGATCATATCTCCACTCGTGATCCAAATGTCACACTCCACATCCCCGTGCATATCATCAATGCACCTCTAGGCATCTATACTCCACCTTACCAAAAGACATCCAACTCACTGCTAATGCATCACAAACTCACTATGGCAAAACAACACCTTTCGGTGACCACAAATGTTATTCCAATCACCAAAGTTCCAAAAATCCACAAAGAAAACGGCTAAAGTGGCACTCACAATGAAAAATCGAAGAAAAAGTCGATTACTTCACAACACTCACAAAGGAGACTCACAAAGATAAAGCCCTAACATGCCTGTCTCACATAATCTCACAAACCACACAGGCTTACAAAGATAAAGGAGAGAAACGACTGCCCAACTTTCTTCTCACTACCACACTCTCACACCACTCACAGAGCAAATAGAGTACGCCACAAAACTTAACCCACTATACATGTGAACATGTTACACAAAGTAATAAGATCACCCTCAATTCATACAATTACACACATCAAACAAATTGAAAGTGTAACATCAATATTGCAACAAAATTAAGTGACCACATACATGCAGAAAGAATTACATACAAGTGTAATGCAAGAACTAGGTTTATTCTCTCAATAAACCTCACTAGGATCACTACTCGACCCTAAAGTCACATTCACCTCGTCTCTATTCTCATCTTTCCTTTTATTATCATCTTAGAACAATCTCTTTCAACTATGTTTATCATAGTTAAAACATATTTTATTTTTCGTACTTGCCTTAGACCTATACATGCCAACTATACCAAATAATAACCACAAGCAAAGTATTGATATACAATTCACACAAAATAATCAAGTAAACTTTCCTAAGATCACATGCAATCCTATCGGTGTAGAAAAAAATTGGTGGCAAATTCACATAGAATTTAAGATAATTAATTAACATGTAATTCCTAAATCTAACAACAGGCAATGGTTATCCCAAACCTAACGTCACCCCCACACGATGACTTCTAACGCGAAAAATAAATAATTAACCTACACATTTATTTCAACTGTAATAATAAAAAGCAAAGAATACGATACCAAGTGGACCGCATCTGAAGGTCCGTAAATTTTGAGAGACGCGAATTCACCACTTCAGGACTATCACTATTTATCCTAAAGTCACCAGCAACCACAGCAACACGAAAACAGCACCTGGCACCCGAACGTCCAAGGGCAAAATCGTCCAATTTTCACTGCATTACTCAAAACTGAAATCCGACAACACCGCAGGGTCCGTATCGTCACCAGCAACATTCTGCCTGGAGACACCATCCCCAGATTCAGTCCCACGCGCCGACAGCCTGTCACCTTTTCGGCTTCATCTCCTCCTGCATAGTCCACCGGTGGTGTCCGTTTCGCCAAACTCCTTTTGCTTTCACCAAAAAATGTCAAAACAGATCCGGCAGAAATTTAAAAAACTGGACAGTTTCTGCCTCTGATTTTCAGATCCATTTCTGACCACTTCCAACCCGTTTTTAGCCCCAAAAATCACAGATTTATTAACAACACAAGCTCTGATACCATTTGTAGCGGAAATTCCTCGATAAATCTTGATTCCGGGCTCAAAAAACAATCAAACGAACACCAGTTTACCTCGGCTCGACCCAAGACTTTTGCCTTCACTTTGGACTGCCCAAACTCTCTAATCCCACAAAGGAGAAGGGTAATGGTGTTAGCAATCCACAAAGATATGGAGAGGAAGAAAAAGATATCACAGTGGTTGAATCTCACTCACAACCTTACATGGGTTCCCTCTCTCAACTGTCTCTCTTCTCTCAACTCTCTTCTACATTGCTACAACACACACTAAATGGCTGGGAGATAAATACATATATATAGGTTAGTTTAGGTCACCAAATATGGGCCAAAAGATCTCTAAGTGTGCTGCCATATAACCTAAACTAATGGGCCAATTTCCAACTATATATTAATCACTAAATGGTCTAACTAACCAAATAATCATCCAACCCAAACCCGAGCCATCCAAAAGTGTAGTTCGTCTCCAAGCCGAGCCAAGTCCATGGTGTCGATAAATAATCCGACAACTGTTTTAAATCATCGCCCAGATTATTGGGTATCAAAAAACCCAACATAAAGGGTAATAATAAAAGAAGAAGAAGAAGAAGATGATGGTGATGAACTTCAATCCAGGGGTTGGGAACATAGTTAACTTGATAAATGAGTGCACATGGCAGGTTTGTTAGCTCCTCGTAACAAGTCTTACTGAGCTCTTAGTTGGCCTTTATAAATAGCGAAAGCTTAAAAGGTTGTTTTTTTAGCAAGAGCTGGTTCCAAAATCCCAATAAGTATGATGATATGGAGAGGGGAAAGAAGGGAATACTGTCAAAATGAAAAGTTGTTAGAATGCAGGATGCCTAAATGGGATAGGGAGTGACTGCAGTGTAAATGAACCTTTAATTGTGCGACTTTAGGTTTGAAATGGCATCAATACGAATATCTGAGACCTTATCTGTTGAATTGATTAGTTTAATTTGATAGTTTGTAATATATCGAGAGTACAATTCCATATAAGAATGAAGTTTCAAACTCTGCCCATATGACCATTCCAATATCCGCAACAGAGATCTTATCTCAACTAGGGATTACCTTGCTTTAATGCCTTATCTAAATCACAGCATAAACACTAATAGTGAACTGATTCTTCTCCTAAGTGTAACTATTACATAATCATGTCCCTACCCCTTTCACATGTACAAAATGATTCCTATGTTAATTTGATAAAGAAGTAGAAGAAGATATACATCAGCAGTTCTTATAGCACACTGTATACATATGTTTGTGCTTAGATCTGTGAATAAGCTTCTGTGAACTTATTCATTGGTTTATTTCTCACAGCTATACCCCCGGTTCATGGATTGAAAAGGTTGCTGGCACAGACTTGAGTGATTATGATGTCCCAAAGACTACAACACTCTTATTGATTGGTCCAAAGGGTTCTGGAAAGAGTAGCCTTGTGAACAAAATTTCTAGGGTGCTTGAGGATGACGAATTTGCAACGGATAGAGCACAAGTATCATGTATGCATTGTCACTTTTTCTCCTTTTTGTTGATGTGTATATCACCAAAGATAAGGTCATCTATCATCTGTTTATGTGTGGATTTTTGGTTGGAATACATGGTTGGGTATGGAACTTAGATTATCTAACTACAGCTTCATTTTAGCTGTGATTTTTACTTGAACAGATAACGTATCTACTGGAGATGGGACCTATTTCCTCCAGGAGTACTTGATTCCAAGAGGTTCTGGTTCTTTTTGTCTATATGACACTCGAAGTTTGTCAAATGATTCTTCGGAAAACCTGAAAATGATCAAGCGTTGGATGACGAAGGGTGTTCATTGTGGAGAACTTGTCAAAAGGTCAATATATATTGCATCATACTATCTTATTTGGTTTTTAATCTGGCGAACCTGGAGTTAATATGTATATTTTTTGTCAGAAACTCTGACTGTCCAAATTTAAAAGGCCAATTGAAGCACAAGGCACAAAAGAGTAGGCATGATCCCTCTAAGGTCAGGAAGATTAACTTTGTCATATTTGTTGTGAATGGGCTTACCATATTAGAATCAATGGATGTTGATGATGAGACAGCGAAATCATACACTGATATGGTAGCTACAACTTTCAACAATCCGTTATTGTCATTCAGAGGTAGGTTTATACAACTATCTTTCTCTCTGTGGCGAGGTTAGTGCAGCATGCAATACATTGATTTGCAATACATTGATTGAAAATTTAGTCCCTGCTGTTTCATTTTTACACCTTACTAGTGAATATTTTGTTCACCCGAGGCATGCATGATGAATCAAAAATTGCTGTCTAGGTGAGGAATCATATCATAGTCACCTTTCTTTGTCACTTCATCTCTCTGGAGATAGTTCCATGGAAGCTATTGTTATATCCTTTTTCTTTTCTTTTTCTGAGTTTTCATTGTTGAGGTGTTTTATCTTTCTATGTCTCAGATGACAAGCCTGTTATAGTAGTCACGCATGGAGATTTGCTGTCACTTTGTGATCGTGTGAGAGTGCGTGTCCATTTGGGAAAGTTGCTGGGTGTTCCTCCAACAAGACAAATTTTTGACATCCCAGGTAAGTCACTATAAATTCCATAATGATAATGTCAACAGCAAAATAATATTTGAGATATGATTCTTGACTCTTTACTGGCTAAGCTTTCTGGTGGTTACAGAAAGCAATGATTCAGCCGTTGCATTGACAGTAGTTGACATGCTACGCTATAGCCTTGAGCATGCAGACAGAAACCTCCCTGGCAAAGTTCAGTTCCTGAGAAAGGTTTGGTTGGCTTTCCTAGACTTGCTTAGACAACATAGTAAAACCCATTCTCGAGAAGCTGCATATTTCTAGTGTGTGTGTCCGGTTCTTCTGACTTATTTCCAGACTTCAGTGACATGAAATTTTCTGGAACTTCTGTATCGGACTTTCAAATTTATGTCCCATACATATCTTCTTAGAGAACCTTCAAGAGAGACTCGATTTTTAAAAAGCATAATTATTTGAAGAGCATTTTTAAATTCATGTAGTTAAAATTGAAGTACTCAAACAATCTCTTTATATTTAACATTTAATTTTACTACTTCCAAAAAATTATTTATTATTTTTTTTATTTTAAGTAACTTTTCTCTAGATTATTTTATTATTTTCCTACATTGAAAATTGAAACACTTTAAATGCATTTAATTACAGAGAGTGAGTTTGGCTATCCAAATTTGTAGCATCAAACCTACTCCCTAAATTAAAATGTTAATTTAAAGAGTCTATTGGAGCATGATATTAAGAGTTGATTTTTTAAAATAGAGAGTATCTCATGTTTAAAGACTCTCTTGGAGATGCTCTTAGTCAATATGTTAGTTTAATAGTTTCTTTAGATGAACTTGGATCCTTCATAACCATGACTGTGAGACACAAGTTCCAAGGGAAGAGTATCAATTCCCTAAAATTAGTTCAGTAATTTTCATAGTTCGTACAGTATTCCTTAGATTATGTAGTATAATTTCCGTTGTAATTTGATTCTCTAAGTAGTATAGAATCTTTCTATTTTATTGTTATTTACAAGTTATAAATTGTAAAAATATGGTCTTTCTTTCCTTAATTCTTAGAATACCTATCCATCCTACTGTTGCCTTTATCGTTTCTATCTCAATTGTTTGTCAAGTAACACTCGGAACTCACCATTCATGATTTCTTGATTAATGAAATTAACGAGACTTATTGTGAAAAAAATGTACCCATGTATGGAGAAAGAGAGTCATATTTATTTGCGATTTTACTGACATTAAAAGTGACTTGCAGATGTATAAATCATCCATACCAGCATATTTACTGCTCCTTTTGGTGCTGGGGATAGCCATTGTCCACCAAATTCATGGAACCAATTTTAAGTCTCGTGCATTGAAGGTTCATTTGGATGAAGTAACTGGATCGATTCCTAACAAAATAAAGGGAACTGGGGAGGCCAATTTTCATTCTCATTCATCGGAGATTCATTTGGATGAAGCAACTGGATCGATTCCTAACAAAGGTAAGCAAACTGGGGAAGCCAATTTTCATTGTCATTCATCGAAGATTCATTTGGATGAAGAAACTGGATCAGGTCCTAACAAAAGAATGGAATCTGGGGGAGCCAATTTTCATTCTCATGCATCTGATATTCATTTAAATGAAGCAACTGGATTGATTCCTAGCCAAAGAAAGGAAACTACTCCTAACAAAATAAATGAATCTGGGGGTGCCAATTTTCATTCTCATTCATCCAATACTCATTTGGATGAAACAACTGGATCTATTCCTAACGAAAGGAAGGAAACTGTTCCTAACAAAAGAAAAGAAACTCAGAGAGCTGATGTTTCATCGAAGATTCATTTGGATTGGCGTGCAACTCGACACTTGTGGTTAGACTCGGATGATGAATAGCCCCTACTTCCATTTCATATCAAAATCAGATGAGTTTCAGATTTATACTCGGGTAAGTGGATGACAAGGATTTATCTGTTCTTGGTGGCTGTTTGTCTTTCTGCCGTTGATGTCAACTGTCTAATGTAAATAGTGACAGGGAAACTTGCAAGTATTGTGTAGTTTAAACAAGAAATGTTCAGAGTGGTTTTAAGGATCAACTGATCAAAGGTTCAAAATGCTGAATTGTCGTCAACTATGATTGGCTCATGTTTATAAACGTTTGATTTACTTTCTGTCCACACATTTTGAGTTTGAGGGATTCACAAACACTACTCACTAATTCATTACTCATTTTCATTTGCTTATAACTTAAAACCATTTATAAACACTTTCCAAATATGCCAATAATAATATTAATGCTTAGTGGTTTCTTTGTCCAGGATCAGGATTGCATATGTATGTGTGTTTACATATACATAGCCAGGTGAAACTGGTAATAAAGATTTAGATAAAAATTGCAAATGGAAGCATTAGTAGAATAAAGATTACACAGAAGCTGTCATAAAATATTTCAAAATTGTGCCGTTGACTCTTGAAGATTAAAACTGGTGAGATAATTGTAGATCAACTGAAGAGAAATTTAGTAGAGTAATTGCTGAAAAAATTAAAAAATAATTAAAAAATAATAAGAGTAATTTTCATCAAGAAGTGTTTTTGGTAGTGTATTCCATAGAGTGGCTTTGCTCGGTCCCTTGTAGGGGATTATCGCCCTTATTTATAAGTAGGGTTGGACATAATTCAGTTCATTTTAAACTTTAAAATCACTTAATTTAAAACTGTTGAAAAGTCAGTTAACTGACCAATTTATACACTAACCAGAGGAGACCCGGAACCGGTTATCCGGTTGGTTGATTTAAAAGTAATATATTTTTTCTCAACTTTCAACCTTTTTGGCGTAAGGAAAAAGCTGTTTTAACGTGTACAACCCCCTCACTTTGTTGTGGGGCCCGCATGATTTAAGGGGGCTGTTAGTCGTGCTGTGTGCCGAAACTTGGTGTAAAGGGTCTAGAAAGTTATTTACAATACATTGGCCCATCCAAAAGTTTTAAGTATTGAATTAAGATTTTTTTTATACATATTTTTTTAAATCTAAACTCAATAAAATGTCAGAATCTATTTACTATTGACTTTTATACACCTTTAAAAGTTTCAAGTATTGAATTAAGATTTTAAAAAAGAAAAAAATTATTTAAATTCTTAAGGTATACAAAATGTCAATAATTTTTTATTTTTAAAGATTTTTTTTTTACAACTTGTTATTCACCACCCAACCCCACCCGTTCCTGCTTGTGAGCTTTTTTCCTCTGCTTTTGACCTTATTTCACTGCGTACATTTAGGTTGCGGTCGTTTTCGGGCCATTTTTCGTTTTTCATTTTCGAAAACACGGAAAACACATTTGGTTCGTCATTTTCGAAAATGAGTTAAAATTTATAACTAAAAACGCAAAACGACTTTTTATCGTTTTGAGTGTTTTCAGTTATAAATTCCTAAAATACGGAAAACAACCAAAACGAGCCGTTTTCGAGGAAAACTAAAAATCGTTTTGAAACCGAAAATGAAAAATGCAAAACTAAACCAACCTCACCCTTAGAGCTTGTTAGGAAGAAATTTTTATTATTTTTATTTTTTTGGAAGTCATTCTTTCCCTTTAAAAAAAAAAATCTCCCATTGGATACGGCTTATCTATGGTTCACAGATAGAATCAAATATTTGACAGTGTTTCCAAATTTTGCTTTGATCTAAAAGCTAAATCTTTTGAAATATACCATTTCCTTGAATCACGCGTTTTATCCACAAAAAAGGAATGCTCCGACATGACATTGGGTGGAAGAGGAAATTCCTTGTGCAATAATGCAATGGGATAAAGACATCAATAAATGGACCGTAGAAATCCAGAGGTCAAATTCATAACTTTATGCCTCTTCGAGAAGAGAAGAAACTAAGTTGGCCC